CATGCACACAAGTTGCCATTGCCTTCTTGACTGACCTCTTATTTTCGTTCATGGACTTGCCCCGGTTATGATTTCTTTAGCTTTTTGATCTCGCCTCAAAGACTGGTGGGACGACCTGCTCTCTGCGTTGACTGACCCTCGAGTGGTGCTTTGTAAAGACACACCCCTCCCTCTCCCTTTTGAAGGTGCTTTGACAGACAAGACAGAGAGAACTTGTCTGCAGCCGTACAGGATCACAAACACATTTGTTTGGAGCGGACATGGGCATGTATGAATTGGAGCCTTAGGAGCGATGCTTTTGAACTTGCCCTCCTGTGAGATCTTTAGTCTGGAGGCAACTCTTTAGTCAGGAATGGTTTGCAAATAGCTTCTTTTTCATAGCTCTTCAGTGTCTCTGGAGTGAGCAGGCACAGGCCTGCCCCAGGTCCTTGACAGCTAATGCTGCTGTCACAAAGCCTTATGGTGACGGCCGGAACAAGCAGATCTGCCCCCGCCCCAGCGGGACACCAGTGTGAGGGGAAGGCTACCAGCTGGTGGCTCTGGGATAAGGTCCTTGTTAGCAGGCTGCTCCTGGACCCAGGGTTATAGGTGCAGGGACCCAGGCCCCAAGACATTGTGCCAGGCTCTTCTAGCTCTTTGCTTGCTTGTCAGAGGAGGGACCCCAAGAAATCCTAACCCTGTCCATTGTATTCTGCCTCACGAGCATCGGTCAGTTGGGGTTCACAGGATGATTACATCCGATCACAGATGTGCCCCGAGTCTCATGGCCTAGCCAGGATGACCCATATTGTGGGGAAGAGTTCAGCCTGTATGTAACACCTTTTGCCGAGTCATGGGGCCTGCCTTTGTCCTTTGTCTGATGTTCAGTCTCTAGAACGTTTGGTCTCCCCTTTTGGTTGGTTTGCATGTGGGAGGATGTCTGGTCCTGCCAATCTGTTTTCGATCAAGCACAGTCTCAAATGGAAGTCTTCTGACTGGATCTTTAGCTGTTGGCAGGCCCCGGGGCATCTGGGATGGCGCCGGGTGCGTCATCGGGCATTAGGCCGTTTCTCCTGGCTGTGTCCAGCAGTGTCAGGCCGGAAGTTCTGGGTGGCGACGTGTGCGTATTGCATTCTCGGAGCCGGACTGTGCGCCTGTCTTCCTTCAGGCTAGGTTCTACCTGTGTCCCCGTGAGCTAAGGCACATGTCCAGGCCCCATGGGGCAGTGGTGCTGTGGGCACAGGCGGGGTCTGGGAGGGGCCACGGGCGTGGCCCTGATGTGGTCTGTGTGCAGGTATGTGCAGCACTATGGACTGGGCGGGGCCTGTGACGACATCGAGAGCGTGCTCAAGAGGGTGGCTCTGAAGCTGGGCAAGACCCAGAAGGTGAAGGTGCTCTCTGGCACTGGTGAGTGGGGGGGTTCCTGGCCCCCCATCAGACCCTTGGGTGGGGAGGACACTGAAATGCAGCGGTGCTGCCCCGGGAGATGGGCTGGGGCCCAGAGAGGGCCTTGGCCCTGCCTCTCTGACCTGGACGGTGGTGGTTTGGAGGGTTCACGCTTGGTCCTGGGGTTCCGGTTTTCTCACAGGTCCACCCCCGCTGCCCTTCCCACAGGGAACGTGAACGTCGTACAGCCCAATTACACGGCGGCCGCCGGCGACTTCCTCCAGGCCTTCCGCAGGGGGCAGCTGGGTCCCGTGATGCTGGACGGAGACACCCTGGTCACCTGCACGGAGACCCACTCCTGACGCCCAGTGAAGCTGGTGCCCTGGGCTTGTTTGGCTGGGAGGCTCCTGGCAGTCCAGCCTCCAGGAAGTTCTGCTTAGGCTGGTCACTGCTCTCCTGGTCACAGTGACACCGAGGCCTGGACTCTGAGAACCCCAAAGGCACAGCAATGAGGCCTGGACCTGGGATGACCAGGAAACAGCAGCTGACCTGGGGTCTTGGGCCTTACACAGTAGGAACAAAGACTGAGGGTGTGTTTGGCCTCAGGAGACAGCAGCCCTGCCTAGTGGGGAGTTGTGCTTGTCATCTCTTAATGGCTTTGTTGTCTGGAATGAACAAAGGCTGATTACAAAGGCGCCCCTGGGCAATCTCTCTGCTGGTCCACACCGGGCACCCCAGGGCCATCTCTGCCGGCCCATGCCAGCACCCCAGGCCCAGGGTCCTCCACTGTCTTTCTCCTGGTATCTGCTGCACACCCCAGGACTGGGCCCCTCTACCCCTGCTGGTCAATGCTGGGCACCCCAGGGCCGGCTGTCCCCCTTGTCTGCTGGGCCACTCCAAGCACCCTAGAGCCCTCTCTGCTGGCCCATAACAGAGCCCCAGGGTCTGGACCCCCACCCCCAGCCCCTGCTCCCCCCGACTGTCCCTGCAAGCCTATACACAGGACACCTCAGGGCCAGACCTTCCCACTCCCAATTCTGCTGGTCCATACTGTATATCCCAGCTCCCCCC